CCTCGTGGGAGTTGCCTCGCTGCGGGTCGTAGGATGGAGCGAGTGGTCTCCTCGTAGGAGTTATCTCGCTGTGGGTTCGTAGACCCGAGGGAGTTGACTCCTCGTGGGAGTTTTCTCGCAACGGGTTATATGACTGAGCGAGTTGTCTCCTCGTGGGAGTTGTCTTACTGCGGGATGTAGGACAGCGCGAGTTTGCTCCTCGTGGGAGTTTCCTCGCAAGGGGTTGTAGGTCCGAGCGAGTGGTCTCCTCGTGGGAGTTGTCTCACTGCGGGATGTAGGACAGAGCGAGTTTGCTACTCGTGGGAGTTGTCTCGCTGCTGGTTGTAGGACCGAGCGAGTTTGCTCCTCATGGGAGTTGTCTCACTGCGGGATGTAGGACAGAGCGAGTTTGCTCCTCGTGGGAGTTGTCTCGCTGCTGGTTGTAGGACCGAGTGAGTTTGCTCCTCATGGTTGTTGTCTCACTGCGGGATGTAGGACAGAGCGAGTGGTCTCCTCGTGGGAGTTATCTCGCTATGGTTATGAGACCCGAGGGAGTTGGCTCCTCGTGGGAATTGTCTCGCAAGCCCCCCACTCTCGAGACGATGTGGGAGCCAAGTCGAAAGGGGCACCGGATCGTATTGAGAGTAGATCGGTAATGTAGTCTTGCGTTAATCGTTGGCATGGCGTGGAGAAATAAATTTTTTTTTTTTCCATTTGATAGCGAACGCAATTTGGTAGGTGCGTTAAAGAGCTCGCGCAATTTGGTGGAGCACGTTGAAATTATCGTGCGATTTGGTGAAGCGAGTCAAAATCTACGCGCAATTTAGTGGAGGGCGGTGAAAGTTCCGTGCGATTTAATGGGAGCGCGCAGTCCAAGGGCGCCTTGGGAAAGCGCGCGCGCGTGCTTGCGCGAGCTCCCATTAATTTTTTTTTTTTTTTTTTTTTCTGTCTGCTAACGCGCGCTCGTCAGCGCGTGTACTCCACGCGCGCGTGCTTTGCACGCGCGCCCCTCCTTTTTTTTTTTTTTTTTTTTTTTTTTTGACTGTCTGCTGACGCGCGCGCGCGTCAGCGCGTGTACTCCACCCGCGCGTGCTGTGTATGCGCGCCTCCTCTTGCCTTTTTTTTTTTTTTTTTTTTTTTATGGAGCCGCGCGCGCGCGGCTCAGCTGCATTTCCCCCCTTTTTTTTTTCTTCTTCTTTCTTCTTTCTTTCTTCTATTTTTTCATATTCTTCTTTTTCTTCTTTCTTTTTTCTTCAAGTTCTATTTTTTTCTTCTTTTGTTTTTGTATTTTTTCATCTTCTTCTGGGGTCTCGAGTGCGCGATTTTACCCTCCTTTTTTTTTTTGTGGTTGATATTCACCCCCTTGGGGATGTTCTATTTTTTGAGGAGGAAGATTATCCTCGTCTCTTGCGATGTGATGTGAACCCCCTTGGGGATGTTCTATTTTTTGAGTAGGGAGATTATCCTCGTTCCTTGAGATGGGATGTGCACCCCCTTGGGGATGTTCTATTTTTTGAGTAGGGAGATTATACGCGTCTCTTGAGATGTGATGTGAACCCACTTAGGGTTGAAAGGTAAGGGTGATGTCCAACCTTAGGATGGGGATAACTGCCCACTTTAGGATGAGGCGCTCGAGACCTATGGTCCGAGGTGGATGCGCACGGTTGTGCCATTGGTTCGCGCGTACGCGTCAGACCATTTTTTCTGTTTTTGAAGTAGGGACGTGAAACACTTGATGGGATGTGAAACCCCTTGGGGTTGAAAGGTAAGTGGATGTACCACCCTTGAGATGAGATGCCCAACTTTAGGATGGGATAGCCCCCCATTTAGGATGAGGCGATCACGAACCACTGGGGTGAGATGCCTAACCTTGGCGATATATGGTGCCACTGATTCAGTGGCAGCACGAGTTGAATCTTCCGTGATCATACGCTGAAGGTCTTCTTCGGTTATCTGAACCGTTCGAGAAGTAAGTAGAAATTGATCATGTTGAGGACCCAGTGGGACCTCACGAGGAGGAGCGTTGACTGCTGCTATGACGATGTATGGTGCCACTGCTTCAGTGGTAGCACAAGTTGAAGCTTCCGCGATTATACGTTGAAGGTCCTTATCGGTTATCTGAACCGTTCGAGGGGGGCGGAAGTAGACCCCCAGAGAGTCGATGACCCATGGCGAACGAAATGTTTTGGGGGCAATGTGAACCCCCAGGGAGTCGATAACCCTTGGCGAACGAAATATTTTGGGGGCAGATGTAAGCCCCAAGGGAGTCGATAACCCTTGGCGAACGAAATATTTTGGGGGCAATGTAAGCCCCCAGGGAGTCGATAACCCTTGGCGAGCAAAATATTTCGGGGGCACTATAAACCCCCAGGGAGTCGATAACCCTTGGCGATCAAAATATTTCGGGGGCACTATAAACCCCCGGGGAGTCGATAACCCTTGGCGAGCAAAATATTTCGGGGGCACTATAAACCCCCAGGGAGTCGATAACCCTTGGCGAGCGAGATATTTTGGGGGCCGAGGTAAGCCCCCAGGGAGTCAATGGCGGTGGTGCCATAGGTGGCTCCACATGTGGAGCAGGTGCTGGTATCGCGTTGGGAGCATTTGCTCCCATCGTGGCGATATATTGGGTCACGACCTTTGTGGCAGCGCGAGTTGAAGCTTCTGCTATCATGCGTTGAAGCACATCCTCGGTTATTTGAACCATTCGAGGAGCAGGGAGTGGTGGATCGGCGAGTGGTGGGTCCCGAGGGGGGATTACCTGAACCTCGCGAAGCGGATCCATGGGACGTGGAGGAGCTGGCAAGCCAGAGCCTCCACAAGGTGGGAGGTCGTTAGCTGTGTCATTTTCTCTCCGAGCAGACGCCTCAGGAGGATCTTGTTGGCTACGTGATCTGGTTTGCATCGTTCCCACAGACGACGCCAAAATGATGATGCTAATATGTAGCTCACCTAGGGTGGTGTAGAAAACGGACTGGGAGAGCAAAGCAGATCAGTAGCTTGATAACGTGATGATCCTGAGGTACCTGCGATCATAGAACACATGAACTAAGCCGGGGGTTGATCCGGCGGAAACCCCTCTGACGCTCAAGTCAGACGTGCTGATCATAGAAATAGTCCAGAGAATACATATTATAGTATTGCTCAGTTAATAGGACGTACCTTATGGAATGAGTTCAAATGTGTATTTATAGCTTAGTTGAGATTGTCGGGCCCAAACCTTGCTTGAAGGTGATTGGGCCTCGGTGATAGTGGTCTTCGATATTGGGCTCGTGGCCCAGTAGGTACATAATTTGTAGGCCCATTGGGTTGGGCCAATTAGGCATATCAACTGTCACCGACAATACAGTTACTGTTAATGACATTACAATTACAGTCAACGTTCAGTGGGGGCGTAAAAGAATTGGATAAAAATTTAGGAAAAAAAAAGTCAATGTTGGAGACCGGCGCTGACAGTCGGTCAACTCCGGGAACCGACGACGTAAAAAGCAGAAGAAAAAAAATTCAAAAATAATCAACATCGGAAACCGGCGGCCGAAAAAACAGACAAAAAAGAAAAGAAAGAAAATAAGATCAAAATTGGATTTTTGTTGTCAAAATTGATGAAATTGAAGCTAAATTGGAGTTACAATTAAGAATTGGGATTAAAAGGCTGCGAGTAATTTTGACATATACATTAATTTTGCATTTATTTATAATACATATTAAAGTGATGATCATATTGGCTAAAGAGATATTGTCCCTGAACATAGAATAATAAAGTTGGTTAATCAGGATATTATATATAGGGATAATTTGACAAAACTCCCTCATTGCAACCCACCCTTTACAAGGAGTCCAAAAAAAAATTCAATTTTTAAATTAAATCCAAAATATTCTTAATTAATAAAAAATAATAGAGTTTCACAATTATACCCTTTCTTATATCTCACCCAAACCCTAGATCTTATACTCATATGTTCTCTCTCCCTTCTCTATTTTTGTCGTTTTGATTTATCCACCGCTGCAACAAATTATTTTCTGCATCTCCTTCACCAACCCCGCACTCTCTTCCCCAACCCCACTCTCTCTCCTTTTCTCCCTCCGGCCGACCACCATTCGCACACCTGGATTCACGCGAAATTGAAGAAGACAACAGAGGCGAAATTGGGAATAAAATTGATAGGGCGACAATAAATTGAAGCTTAAACAAGGTGATGTGCGAGAAATTCTCGATTTTTTTCACGAGAATGCAGTTGAGTAGTTCTGGTTTCTTTTACGTTTTTGAGCAGTATGGTTATTTTGGAGATGTTGTGTTTTTCGATACTAAATCTTTGACTGAAAATTACGAGGTTCCGTTGGTTGTATTTGCTTGCATCAATCACCACATGCATACTTGTATTTACTTTGTGTTTTTACTTGTGCGTCAAAAATCAGCAATGATGACTTCCGCTAGTTTGCGACGATTTTGACTCAAAAACGTCGCAAGATATCGGAAAATAAGATTTCGATGGAATATCTCGCGACGATAACAGTAATCGTCGCAACATTGCGACTAATGTCATTGAAACGTCGCAAACGAAAAAAAATAATAATAAAGCACTCTCGTAGCGACGTTTTTATATAAACGACGCATGAAAAATATTTTTTGCAATTTATTTTTTTACCTTCGCGACGAATATGACGTATACGTCGCTAGTGAAATTGTGAAAAAAAAAACATTTTATTGGGTTGGCGACGAATTTGGATAAACGTAGCGTAATAAAGAGGAAATATTAAATAATATTTATTCATAGCGACGAAAAGAGTTTATTCGTCGCAAGTAAAATATTTTGTTAAAAAAATTATAATTATTATTTGCGGCTATAGTGTATTAATCGTCGCATGTCTATTTATTATTATTTTTTTTTTTGGGTGGCGACGAAAGAGTTTAAAAACGTCGCTACGAGATTCGTTTAAATTTGACGTTGCGACGATTTATCAGGAATCGTCGCAAACAATTTAATGAGATGGCAGGCCCTAATCCCATTTTCCCCATTTTTTCCAACTTCCTTCTCGTTTCTCTCTCTCTCTTTCAATCTCTTCCCCTTGGCCGGGCCCCCCCTCCGCCGGGGCCTCCCCCTCCGCCTCCGCCGCCGCCGTCCGCCGTCCGCCCATCTCTCCGCCGCTGCTCTCCACCGTCAGCCCATCTCTCCGCCGCTGCTCTCCACCGTCAGCCCATCTCTCCGCCGCTGCTCTCCGCCGTTCGCCCATCTCTCCGCCGTCCGCCGCTACTCTCCGGCGTCAATAGCTAGCCCTAATTTCCTCCTCTCTATCTAGCCCTCGATCAACAACAACAAAAAGGTAACTTTCTTGCCCTAATTTTTTTGAATTTAGTTGGTGGGATTATGGTCTTTTGATTGTAATTTTGTTACTGTAGAGAATAGAGGTCTGGATTACAGTTGCGTACTACTGAAAGCAATTGATCGATTTTAGGGTTCTTCCTTCGGGCTGCCATTCCCAAAACTACTGTCAAATCGAATTGCAGGTACGGTGATTTTTTGAAATGGTTATCCTTATTTGCACAGGATGTAACTGTTTATTGCGGATTGTATTGTGGCAGATATGGGTGTGTTCGAGCTGCGGTTGGTAATAATGGTGGTAACGCTCTTGTTAATAGTTCCAAGCATGTATGGTTGGGGAAAACAAGGCCACATTATAACTTGCAAGATTGCTGAGGTACTTTTTTTTTTTTTTTTTGATTTTGATGTTTGAGGCGGCGTTTTATTCTCCCAACAGAAGATTTTGGAATTTTTGGTATGTTGATGAAAGAATCATTAATTGGAGTTGGGAGTATTCTTTGGATGTTACAGAATTTTCTCACTAAAGATGCTTTAGCTTCAGTGAAAGCATTACTTCCAGGCAGTGCTGAAGGTGAACTTGCTTCTGTTTGCTCGTGGCCAGACGAGATTCGTCGGAGTGCGCATAATCGGTGGAGTGGTCCTTTACATTACATAGATACACCTGACTTCAGGTACAACTACCAGTATTGCAGTAAGTGGATTTCTCTCTTATTAATTTTTTTTTAATTTATTATGTTTCTGTTGTCTGCCTTCTGTTAGATTGTTTTGATCGCTTTTCCAGAGGAAGAATTATCGTCTATGTCAGTCGAGGAATTTATGCCACTATAATTGTGCCTATGCAGCTTTACCACCGTAGTTTTGGTACCAGTTGTACCTTTACGCTTTCTGACTTTTACTTATGCTATAGGAGATTGCCATGACTCTGTTGGTCGTAAATATAGGTGTGTCACTGGAGCAATTTACAACTACACAATGCAGCTTATGACAGAGAGTCGTGATACCGATTTCTCAGTAATGAAGTGTATGTATCAATTTTATTCTTCAATTGGTTGTATGTTAATTATTTATGTTTATTGTTGTCACATGTTTATCATATGGAAATTATTTGATATGTTAAATTAGTACGTAGTTGAGATATGTGAATATGAATATTTGTTTTAAATAATGTTAAGTTGTTGTATACATGGATGGTTTTTTTGGGGATGTTCATTTATTAGTTGTTATGCTGTCGAAATTTTCCCTAAACAAGTGTACTTAATCATTTTCAGGCTGATTTGGAACGAGTGTACGATGAGACAATGCATGATGGAAGTGACGAAAGCACGGCCAACTCAACTGCGATAAAAAAAGTGCTCGGAAAAAGCAAAGGGCTTGGAATTAAGATTGCAACCACCACAAAGAGTTCAAAGTCGAGATTTTCTTCAATTCCACCGGAAGTGCAACTGGAAATGAATTCAATGAAAGAGCAAATGCAACTTAAAGATGAAAAAATGGAAAGATTGGAAGCGGAATTGAAAGAAACCCGAAAAATTGTGAACACCTTGGTCGGCCGTTTTGGACTACAAGCCTCGACATCGACTCCTTCCAATGATGGTGGAGTATAAAAAGGGATGAACTTTGTTTGGTTTTTGAATTAAAGTTTGAAACACTACATTATATGCTTTTAAGTTTGTATGTACTTTTTTAATTTATGCTTTGTGCTACCTTGATATTTAATCCGTAAAAAACTTGCGACTAAAATACAAAATAGTCGCAAACAAAAATTGTAGTAACAAGCGACGAATAAATAAAACAAATCCTCGCACATAACTCGTGGGACTTGCGAAGAAAACGGATATTATTCGCAAACATTTTCGCAAACGTAGCGACGCAATCATCACAAAACGTCGCTTAGTGTAGCGACGAACATATAATTCGTCGCAAAGGGTTGCGACTTATTATTTGTTCGTCGCAATTGGTAAGCGACGAAAGTATAGGATCCGTCGCGAAGATTAAAAAAACATTTTTTTTCAGAAAATACGAATGTTGCGACAATTTATGTAATTCGTCGCCAAAATTGGCGTCGAAAATGACTTTTCGTCGCAGATCTTGCGACGGGGCGTTTGGCGACGTTTTGTGTAGGATTTGGCGACGAAAAAAATTCGTCGCAAACACTAAAAAATCGTCGCCAAATATACATTTTCGTCGCCAAATTTCGTCGCCAGTCGAGCATTTTGGCCTAGTGTTTCCAAAATTAAAGAAATTTTCACTATTAATATACATTTGGTCCAAGGTGGAGAATTGTTCGTTTTTGGCCCAAATATGTCTTGGGCCAGAAAGCCCAATTACTCTATTTTATATACACCACCATGAGTTGAGCCCAAGAGTGAATAAGTGAGCCCAAATCAGATTTGAACCAAATCCATCCGTTGGATTTCTGGCTTAATTTGGACCATTTATTCCCTCACTCAAATACTCTCTTTTCTCTTATTTTCCCTCATTTCTGAAAACCCTAGTTTTCATCTTCTTCTCCGCCGCTCCTGCTTCTGTCTTCTTCCTCCTTTGCACTGCCTTGACTCTGTCATGGCTGGAAGTCAAAGTGCACGGTACATGGCTGACTTTGACCGTCCAGTACAGCCTTCACCGGCTCTATTTGACTTATGTCTCTATAAATATGGGTATGAAGGTTGGAAGATGATAAGATACAGATTCAAACCTAATCTCAACCTAAAGCTTTCAGTTTTCAATTTGTGAGTTCTGAAAATGGGGTTTTGGTGAGAGGGTAAGCTTGAGTGCTTGATCTGTTATTTCCTTTGTGGAATTCTGGGTGAAACTAGGGTTTGTGAATGAGAGATAAAGAAGATTTGTTCTTCTTGTGGTACTCTGGTGGTCTATTGTGGAAAAGTGTGAATCTCTAGAGTGAAAAGTTGGAAGACTGAGCTGATAATTTTTATTATAATTTCTTCATAATTTTTATGGAATTAAAAAATGAGGTTTTTGTGATAAAATCCCCAACCAAACATGTTTATTATTCTAGGTTTAGGGACATATCTCTTTCACCAATAAGCCCACCACTTTAATATTTATTATAAATAAAGGAAACACTCATGTATATTTCAATATTACCCTCAACCATTTATACCCAATTCTTAATTGTAACCCCAATTTAATCAATTTTGTCCACAAAAATCAGATTTTGACCACAAAAATTCAATTTTGACTTTTTTTTGGAGCATATTTTAATATGCTCCAATTTTATCCTTTAACTTAATTTAATCTCAATTTGACCCCAGATTTCACAATTTATTCAATTTTGACCCAAAACTTGTTTTTTTCACAAACATTTTTTTTTTCAAACAATTTTTTTTGCCGCCGGATTCCGGCGTTGACTTTTTTTTTTTTTTTTCTTCCGGATTTTTTCGCCGGTTTCAATTTTGACTTTTTTTTTGGAGCATATTTTAATATGTTCCTATTTCATCCTTTAACTTAATTTAATCTCAATTTGACCTCAAATTTCACAAATTATTCAATTTTGACCAAAACCTTTTTTTTTCACAAACATTTTTTTTTCAAAAAAAATATTTTTGCCGCCGGATTCAGGCGTTGACATTTTTTTTTTTTTTTTTTTCTTCCGGATTTTTTCGCCGATTTCCGGCGTTGACTTTTTTATGTGTTTTTTTAAGTTTTTTTTTTTTGTTTGGTTTGGTTTGTTTTGTTTTTCCACGTCCGCCGCTAAACGTTGACCGTAATTGTGCTGTCACTGATAGTAAATTAACGTAATTATACTGTCAATGATAGTTAATTGACGTAATTGTACTGCCGTTGACATTACATTTATGTAATTGTGCTGCCGTAGACAGTAAATTAATGTAATATTATTATTTTTTATTTTTTATTGTTTTTTTTTTATTTTGTTTGATTTGTTGACAAGTCAACGTAATTATATTACTGTCGTTGACAGTAAAATAACTGTAAACACAATAATATTACTGTCAACAACATCAATATTATTATTTTTTGGGGGTTTTTGTTTTGTTTGAGTTATTCACGGAGTAACGTAATAATATTACTGTCTATTATTGTAATATTACTGTAAACACAATAACATTACTGTGGTTGACGGTAATATTACTGTTGTTATAGTAATATTGGTGTCAACCACATCAATATTATTATTTTGTTTGGATTTTTTGTTTGTTTGAGTTATTCACGGAGTAACGTAATAATATTACAGTCTATTATTGTAATATTACTGTGGTTGACGGTAGTATTACTGTTGCTATAGTAATATTACTGTCACTCACAGTAATATTAATTCTTTTGGTTTTTTTTATTATGTTTACATTTGTTGAACGGTCAGCATAGTAATATTACTTTATTACACAATAATAATGAGTTTTGTTGTGTTAATATTAATGTGCTAGAGATTAATATAGCAATATTATTGTGTTAAACTATAGTTTAGTTAATTTTACTGTCTTTAACAGTAAGATAGTTAATATTACTGTCAATCACAGCAATATTGCTGTTTAAACGGAAAAAAAAAAAAATTTAAAAAGTCAACGCCGAAGACCGGCGTTGCGCCGGTCAACACCGGAATCCGGAAGAAAGAAAGAAAAAAAAAATAAAAAAAGTTGAAAAAGTCAACGCCGGAATCCGGCGGGGGAAAAAAAAGTTTTCGGAAAAAAAAAATTTAAAAAAAAAAAGTTTTGGGTCAAAATTGAATAATTTGTGAAATTTGGGGTCAAATTGAAGTTAAATTAAGTTATGGATGAAATTTGAGCATATTAAAGTATGAGAGGTTATTTTAGTCCTTTACAAAAGTTTGGACCATATGTGGACTTATTGGTAAAAGAGTTTTTTGTCTTGATCTCTTTATAAATAAGTACCCATTGATGGGCTTATTTGTAAAGTTCCCTTAAAAAATTGAATTCGATATAAAAAATTTCAAGAAACTGAAAGTTTATTTCAATCTGGCAATTTCGGAATTCTTGGAAATATTAGAAGTATAAAAAAATAATGCATATTTCTGCATTTTCTTGGAACAATTTTGATTAATTTCATTTTTTGTATGAAAATGTTATTTACCTGCTCTAAAAATACAATTTTTTTTTTTACTTTTTACCATGTCATTTTAATATTTTATTATACATAAAATTATATTAACTCAACGTAAAATTTATTTTAAAAAGCCCAATTTTCATATGACGTAATACTTCCCGCTCTTTTTGCTACCTCATATTATGAAATTGAAAAAGCCCTAATGAATTCACTCTGCCAAAACATCGCCGCTCTTCATTCTTATCCATGGCGGTTATTGCAATTCTCTCGAGCTAGGGTTTATCCTTCCCCCAAATACATACATACATACATACATAAATAAATATTTTTTCAACCAAGCGCAAATCCCCAGAAATGAAATCCGCCAAGCAAAAAACCCCCCAAAATGGAGGTAGAATTCTTAAAAAATCTGCCATCGGAAATCGTAATCGTGATTCTATCAAGGCTTCCTCTTCGAACAATCGGAATCTGCAGACGCGTTCGTAAGTCATGGCGAGATCTGATCCAAACTCCCGTTTTCGCCAATTCTTATCTTCCTAGATATGTCTCGGGTCTGGTTACCTGTTTCGACTTCGACAGCTACCAAGTTTTCACATTTGAAGATGAACTCGATCTCGAAGATCCCGATCGTAACTATGATTTACTAACCACATTCGATTGTAGTGGATTGGGCCTTAGCATCTGCGATTTAAGAGGTTCCGTTAACGGCTTGCTTTTTATGCACCCGTTGAGCTCTATATCCTCTGAGTATTACATTTGCAATCCAATCACTCGCGAGTATATCGAGTTTCCGTACGAGCAGAGGCTGCTCGACGAAGAGTTTAACGGAACGGTCAATTATGGATTTGGGGTGAGTAAAGTGAGTGGTCAGTATAAGGTGGTTAGGGTTGTTCATGTTAGGAAATCTATTTGCCACGTGTACACTCTCGGAACAGGGAAATGGAGACGAATTGCCTGTGGGGCCCGATTGGGAAGAAACAATTATTTAAACGGGGCGTTTATTAATGGGTGCCTTCACTGGTTTTTACAAGATTATTTGATTTCTTGCTTCGATCTCGAGACGGAAACTTTCAGTACGTTTTCTCAACCGCCTATTCCGATGTGGAGACGGCATTCTCAGAACCTAGTAGCTTTGGGGGATTGCTTGTGTATATGCGACAATACAGACGACGGAATTGATTTTTGGGTTATGAAGGAATACGGAAATGAGAAATCTTGGACAAAGCAATTTGTTATTCGAAAAGGTTACGGACATTGTTACGGTGAACAACCTCGTGGGATCGTTTATCCTATCAAACTTTTCAAAGACGGTCACGTGTTGATGACGTGGCAGCAAGACTCGAGCTGGTTCTACGACATGTTCTACTACTCCAACAGAACTAAAACTACTCGGGGAAACGGTAAGTTAATGTCTAGTGTTGCTAGTCCCATGCAGGCAATGCTTTATACGCCGAACTTTCTTTCGCTCAAGACTTTCCCGAAAGAGGATGTGTCCAAATTCTTTCGTTTTTGGTGATTATTGACACAACACAATCCAATTGGGGAAATTAAGCAGTACTATCCTTTTGCATATCGTTTCTTTTATTTTCCGTTTCATCGGTTAGTTTTATCCGCTCGTTATTATTTTTCATGTAATATATGGTACGGAAAGAATTGCGTCCTTGATGAATATAA